CTTAGGGTTTTTTTTTGTTGAATGTTTCTGCTTATTTTTGGATGAATCGAGGATACTGCGATCTACAATTTCATTGAGCTGGTGCGTATACGATTCTTGTAATTCTCGGGGTAATTAGCAGATGTTAAAATTACGGATCCCGTGTTCTTGATCTAAGAGATGTTTTGCGTCTACCTACCTACTTAGTTTTTCTCCTGGTTTTCTAACTTTTGTCTCTTCTTTTGGAATATTTGTATCCGATTTCTCGTAAACCGAGGAAACGGCAATTTGCAATCCCGTTGAGCAGACGCGTGTATGATTCTGGTAATTCTAGCGGGTCGGTAATTGGCAAACGACGGGGTCGTGACTACCGATAACGAGTCAACCTCTGTTCCGATTGAACCACGAAAATCACATCAACGGGGACGAGAGACGAACGATATTCCGGTACGATTTAGTCATCTCTTGCCAAGTTCGGGTGATAAAGGCCCTGTTTAAGCGATGAGGGACGTCGACTGTTTGTTGACGAATCCACCTACCCTGTTCTAGTGTTCCGTTTGCTATTGAAAGGGAGAAGAGGATCTGTGAATCTATTTGCTGCATGGAGATTCGATCGTGTTCTATGTTTAAGTGGATTCTTTTTATTCCGAAACAATATTCGCCTGCGATTCTCGTGGAAAGATGAAGTTCCTACTGGTTTCAAAATATCTGTCGGGCCTGCTGCCCAAAATATCTCTTTACCGACAATACAAAATTTAACAGACTTTATACAAAGTTCAAAATTATAAATACCATTCGTATATACCGTCCATAACATATATTCGAAACTTGCATCGGTATCATATGATTCATCTATAGAATTGTGTCACTAACAGTTTATTCAAGACATAAACATTACATCTGCATTGATACACGCTTCAACTAACGCATTATTAACCAATTAACCGTAGAATACATCTCGAAAACCTCTAGTGAGTTGTCCAAAGAAATCAGCCAATGGAATACACATAGAACGCAGCGCAATATAATTGTAATTAAACAACGCAACATACCTAAAATAAAAATCCGAAGCAAAATGGAAAACAATTGCATGTTCATTAAAAAAAGTAAAGACCTAACTAAATAATATTAGTATTATCTTCTTCCAAGACAATATCAAACACAGCCAACCGATTAACTATCACACCAAAAACCGGCAAAACGTTTAACAATCCGAATCCTCGAATCTCGACGTACGACCGCAGAAAGTTCACACCGAATGTCCAGCGGAAGTCTGAAAAACCGGTATCAAAGTCTCGTCGAGGCGGCGTCGTAGAGATCCGTTGCCTCGGTGTCTGCGGCAAACGAACCGTCATCCGAGGGATCGTTCGTCCGCCCGTTCCTCGTCGCCGCAAATCGCGAAAGGTGCCAGATGCGATTCGATGACGGGATCAAGGGGGTATCGCGGAAAATCCGGGAGGATCGAGGAAAAGAGGAAGGCTGTGCGAGGCAGCGAGAAGCTGGCTGAGCGAAGGAGGACGAGAGGCGGCGAACGATGAGGAGGAGGATGAGGAGGAGGAGGAGGAGGAGGACTGCTCACGGATGGTTGCGTCACACCCGTCAACTTCCGCGGATCCAACAGAGCGGCAGAATGCAAGACGCCGACACCCTTTGAATAATGAAGCCCTCGGCTTCTATGCCTGTCTGACTTCTCCTCGTGAACGCTCGTTCTCCTCGCCGGGCCGCGGAGAAACCTACGAATTTATAGTGACGGTTTCCGGTTATACGTAGACAAGATGCGCCGCCGTGTTAGAGAGATGGATGGAGTTAGGGTTAAAGGGAGCAACACGGAGGGGGGAAGATGAAGAGAAACGCGGTCGCCGTCTGTCGACTCCTCTGCCGTCAAATTTTAATTGCGTTACGACGATCCGCGACTCGGCGGTACGCTAGTTGCTCTCCCCTCGAAAGACACCGTTTCCCCGAAGAGTATAGCTGATGGACACCGCTCTCGAGAAAGAGGATTTTCTCGACACTTTCGGTGCACGGTATAAATACTGGGGAACGTTTAGGGGCGGGGGATGAACAGTTTGAACGGGTGTAAATGGTTCTGCTGTAGTGATTTCGTAGTTACGGAATTTCAATCTTCTGTTGGGGGTGTTTTCACTTGGATGGTGGTCATGGAAAGGTTCTGGTAGCCTAATGCTTTCACTATGAAGGGAAAATTGTTATTTCTGTAGGTTGTAGAATATTCTTTCATAATGGATGTAATCGTGTGTTTTAAAGGTTGAAAATAGTACGCGTGGTAGGTATTATAGGCAGAATATTTTGTTTTGTAATGATTGTGCAGAGGTTTTTCTATATTGTTCTTCCATTACACGGGATATGAGATGAATTGTTACCTTCATTGGAACGGTCTCTGATATTTGCCAAGGAAAAAAGAAATCGTCTGCGGCTACGAGCGATAACGCACGAAATATTTTCGATATACCCAATAAATTGAAATTTTAATATCGCCTCGCGTGGCGCACTTGAAATTGCGGATCGCAAGTTCGTGCAAATATTTTTCGGTCGAGATTTATTTGTCCGATCTATATTTTATACAGTTTATTCTATATAATCGTATCAAGTGATCGGCCCCAATAGATTTTTATCGAGTCGGAATCGCCTTTATTTGACCTACGCCCGGATGTGCTCGCTGCACGCGACGCGGAAAAATGAATCGTATGTATCGCTTGTAAACTCTGTCACGCGAAATGTCATTTTTGATCAACCATTCGGTAATTTAAAAATATCGTACCGTTGGAAGATACACCGTCAGAGTCTGTAAAAGTGAATGATATTAATTATGGTATTTTTTTTCGTATGTAACGAAGTTTTATTAATAGTTCATCAACATAATACACGTATGTATATAATGTAAAGTTACAGATAAAAATATAAAAAAAATACTTTCGACAGTTGTACCACTTTGGGAACTATAGTTAAGAGTTGCAATAAAAAATTGGAATCCACCTACTTCAGAAACTAGTACCCAAAATACCGAATCTATTAATTCTTTGCGATCGATCGTCGCTGTACCAGTGACTTCGAGCTTCGATATCTAAAATCGACAGGTGCAAACGAATAATTTAACTATTCAAATAACGACAGCTTAATACACGATTCTCTTCTTCTCTAGTATGAAATTTATCTTTACAACTTAGGAAACACTGTAAATGCCAATATTGCAAAACTTTATATTTTTACATATACAATCTCAATGTTACATTCCTTCTCGTAGTCGTCGATACCACTGTCAATACTGAAAGATCCCATCATTACGTCGTTACTATACAAAACACTCGACATATACACCATTTTCCTCTTCCTTCCGAATAATGTCAACCTTGGCATTTACGAGGTTTTCTATAAATATTCTCCAATCCAATTTTTCATCAAACGAACGTTCGGAAGTTCGAAAAGTTCCCGAGCGCGTACGGTCGAACCGCAAAAAACCATCACGAAATATATTCCCGGAGTTTCGTTTTTCGTGTGGCAGGTGTACAAACGGAGGTCCCGCGACATGGAAACCGAAACCGACGAGGATTTACTGCAGTTTCCGGCCGGCGGCAGCCTGGACGCGTCCAGCGGCTCGTTGTCGAGCGTGTCTCTGTCGGACAAGAGCATGTCGACGGACAACGTCGAGGAATACTTCGGGGACGTGCCGTTCGCAGGTAAACAGCAACGCACGCTTGGCTGCACCGCATGACGCTTCTTTCTGCCCACGTGTAAATGCATAATCGTTGTGTTACGTCTTTGTTTTTCCTCCTGATTTTCACCGTCCGCCTGACGATTATCGCCGATCGGCGATCGTTCACCCTCCCCCATCGGGTGAGCCAAGAAAAAAAAAGCAAAACAAAAAGAAAGAAACGAAGTCGATTTTGTCGTTTGATCTGCGCACGAGCATTCGGATGCGTTCCCCGTTGTTGCACGTGCGGTGGCTGTCTTCGAGGAAGCTCCGTTTCCGGCGAGTCACAATTGCGGACGCTCCTTTCTTGCGCGGTACGCGCGCACGCCACGAAAACAGGGCTAACATTCTTGCGGTTATTGTTTCCTGTTGATAGTTCGATTGTATCCGCGATGCGTTCTCGTTTCTTCTGTTCTTTGCGATCCTTGCTGAAAGCGTTGGGCAATTTAACGGTGACCACGATGAGAATTCTCGCGGCGATCCGGAAGGTTCGATTTCTTCGTGTAACCGGGTTGTAATCGTAGTTTGCAGATGTTAAAATATAATGGCGAAATCGGAGACACGGATGATAATAGTTTCCTTGTTCCGTTTAGTTTGTGGATGAAGGGTATTTTAGATATTCTTTCGATCGGTTTCACTGGTTTCTCTAGTTTGTGCTACGGACGGAACACGTTCGACGATTTGTTTTGCAGTGCTCATGATTTAATACTGTCTTGTATAAAGTATTGCGTAATTATCACGTTATTAGTTACACGTCGAACGAGGTATTGTTTATTTATATATTTTTTTTTATTTTGTAAGATAGTAGCTATTTCGCTAGCCTGTTTAATTATTTACATTGCAATCACGTTGCTGGAGTTACTGAAGTTACGGGCGCAACGGTTTCTTCAGATCTCTATTGTTTTACGTTGTACATTGATTTGAATAGTATTGTAAAGTGAGTATTATTATATACAGCTACATTGTTAATCTACGTACGATCTAATCGATAAAAATTACAGGCGTATAAGCATAGTTACCATATTCTGTGTATTTCTAGGATGTACACGATTTGCTGATGTTCAACGCGTCGCTGTTTATCGAACGTTGAACTAACGTTGCCATTTCGATCTTATTTACTATGTGCTCGAGGTATAGTAGTCTTATTATGTCTATCGACTTGTCAAGGTGTATCGTGAAAAGGAGATTTGTATTCTTGGATAGATATCGAACGTAAATATTTCATAACCGTATCTGTACGATCATATCGACTACTTTTTGCATTACTATTACTGGACAACTATATGGTAATGGAAATTTTCAAAGTAACAATGGAAGACAAATAATTAACGATCTTCAGATCTTTGTCAATAGATCAAAGTGTTCATCGACGTGGTATTCACTGTTTTTCAAGTAATTATAACAAGTTGGTGGAAGAAGTTTCTATTTGCAATTAATAACATTTGGACTATTAATAAATCACAGTAGTTAAGACTAGCTAAGGAAAATGATATTAATCAATTCTTTTGTGAAGAATATTAAATCTGAGTTCGAGTTTATTGAAACTCTTTCAGGGAATTCAGGGAAAATATTATTCTTTGCTTTTGAATATTTCATCTGTATTAATTAATTCGTGTGAATCTAATCCTAAAAAAAGTAATCGTAATGATAAAGATTAATATCATATATAAACTTCATTTACCAAATACTCATAATTATTAGAATTATGCGGAATGAACACATTGTTTAAACATTTTATGAGAATAACTATTTCGTATCTCTTCCAATTTCAATCTCTTACGAAGTATTTAATCATTCTCAGATAACTTAGACGTTGCATATAAGGGTTACATCAAACTATACCTTAATATCCATTTTTCAATAAACTAATAAGTATAAACGTGCTCCTATTGATATTAAATTATAACACGAGCAAACTAGCTTGAAACCAGTACGCCAATAAAACTTGATTCAATATATAACATAATATAACATAGAACAATCTAGGGACAATTTTCTCGCGCAACTTTTCGCGCTTTCGCACAATAGCGCCAATGTCAATCATCTAAATTTATACACTTCTTGTATTTCCAAGCCACTATGTATTCAATCAGTTTCCTAATATACAAATCGAACCTTCCGGATCTAGCTTTAAATCCAAATAAATCTGAAAACGAAGAGAAAACTAGTGTGAAAAAAAAGAAACTTAAGAAAGATAGGGTAAAGCTTCACGGTACAGGGTACAGTTAGATACAATGGGTCTCTCGCGTCTTGGCTGACTACCTACAAGCTAAAATTTAAAGATTCACCAGTATTCACTTCTTATTATCACATCTCACTTTGCTGCGGTTTGTTTTGCGTACTTTGTTACGCAACTTGGATAATAACAAGTATTTGTCAAAACCGAGGAGTCTGGTGGTCACAAGTTGCCCCTGTGCACTTTTAGCTTGTAGGTAAGTAGTCAGTCAAGACATGAGTGACTTATATACCTATCCATCGTTCCGTGCAGCGTAGGTCTTCACTTTGACCGTAGTCGTGTTTCGATGTCAGGAGCTCGAAAGAGGAAAGATTCGCAAGTACGAAGATCGTCGCCCATTTAACAGTACAAATTTAGCTCGGCGTCGGACTATCATGAAAAAATTCACATTATTACGTGGATCCTAATAAAAGTGTATCCACTTATCGATAACAGAATCTGTTAATGGCCAGATCGCAAGCTAAGTGACTTGGTAATTAGTAACCAGGCTGAATCTCGATAAATTGATTGATTACCTACTCTGTGCTTTCTATTATCTTCTTTCTCATTAAGCGAAAATGTTAGTATATCTATGTCTTCAACAGTAAGCGTTGATATCTTAGACAATACAATTTCACACGTTTCCATCACGTTAACGCTAGAACTACCAGACAGGCTAAAACGACTTATCTTTAATCTCTACTTTTATCATTTCCAAAAAATAGACGAGCTCTTCCAACAAACTTTTTGATAAATTAGCTCTGTAATGTGCAATATTAAAGTGCAAGTTGATCTAAATCTTAACACTAGAACTATTACGCTAAACTTACTTACTACTAAATATCCGAACTTACTTTAAAAATAAATAGTTTCACTTGAATAATGTGATAAATACACGAACCAACCCAGAAAAATCTATTTTTACCTAGTAGTTCCAGTATTTACAAATCCATCTTTCCAATTTGTCCAAGGAAATTACTACACGATTCGACTCCTCGATAGCTCCAGTGTAAAGTGGGCAATAGTTACACGTCGATGATGATCCGACGTTGGGCTAGCTTCGTCCTGTTAGATGGGCAGTGACTTTTAGCTTCGATCGTAGAAGCGTTCTTGGATTCCTCTCGATAGGACACGAGGCGACGCTGAAACATGCGGTTCCCGCGCGGCGGCGTGACAGTAAAATTCTACGCCGACGGATTTTCAATCTTTGCCGATCGCGGGAGGAGAGACGTGCCGTGCAAGCGGAATCCCGTCCGCGGGAGGTGCTAACGATCGGTGTTCGTTAAGCGAACAGATCGCACTGTTCGCGCCGGTTTCACGCTGCCAGGACCGAGTATTGTCGCGGGGCGAATTTGTAATTCCGGAAACGGTCCTCTTTTCCTCCGGCGAGCGATCGCCGGCGAGGAACGGATCGATAGGTTAGAGTTTAGTGTTCCATACGTACGATTAAAGATCGAATAGTTCCTTAGGTTATCGACTACCTAGTTAACTGTGATGTATATGCGTGTATGCGACGGTTGTTCGGAAGGAAACTCGGGAACCGAGGTGCGCATCGTGTTCGGTGAAACGAGCGGACGGGTCTTGGTTGTATAGAGTTTGAGACTTGCTTTTCTTTATTCTTCTGGTTAGTTATGTTTTTAACACTTCGCCGGCAATATGGAGCATTAATGATCGAATGTCGTTGTAGCGATGATATCTAACATTGAAAGCTGTAAATGAGTCATTTAATTATTCATATAATGAAAGATATACGTGGGTTTCTTTGTTTCTGATATTTAAGATTTCGATACGTGATTGAATTTTTTATCGGAAAAGTTGTTTAAGGTTTGAAAAGCTGTACGCAATGGGCTAAAAGTCGAGAATCTCGTTTCTTTATAAATTTACCACGATTTTTAGTTTCTATTATAAAATGAAATGAAAATGTGGCTGAATTTGCATATTAAATTAGGCTCATTAAATTTAATATTAATAACCGGCTGATATTTTTGGTCACGTTGGTAAAACATATTGCCGGCGGAGGATTAATATTTAATCGTGGTTGAGAATTATTGCTTATAGTCGAGACCGTCGAAATTGGTTAAAAACTTTAGGGAATGTATAATTCCAATAAAATTTCGCGAGATGATAGACTATAATAATAACCAGAAGTAATAGATAAATCGTTAAAAATTATTGGAGGAATCACATCTGTACACGTGTGAATATATCGATTGCATTCACAAAACGTAAGATCGATCTCCTAAAAGCAGGCGTGTCAATGAAGTTCACATTCGACAGTGGAACGTACTAAATTATTTCTCGAAACATTCAAACACCGAGACATTACCGTCTCTCATCTAGTAAACCTCGATTCTCATATAAAAGGAACCGATTTATTACACAAGAAAGAACATTCGTACCTCGGATCCTTTCACGTTCAGTGTCCTCGTAACACCGAGGACACTTTTCGCGTATCGAGGCTCGAGAGTTATTCAATCGGTTTCGAACTTTTTCCCGAAGCGAGTCACGCAAGATCCACGTTACTATCCACGCTCGCGTCGCCGATCGCACGTTTCAAAGTTCCCGAACACATTTCCTTTCGGCAGCACCCCATATACGCGAGTCGTTGAGCGTATTATGTACACGTTTGCCCGTACGAGAACTTCCGAGGATTAATTATATCGAACGTGTCTCCCGTTGTTTTCTAAGCAGAGTATATGTTTCCTATATATTTATCTATTATCAGTTACGTCGGTGGCCCTATACGTTTCTGTAAATACACTGGTACGTTC